TGTATGCATGCACCAGCACTCCTTAGCTAACAGACTTGCTTGCTGTCAGGATGAGCTTTTTTACAAATTGAAAATAGTCATGTGACTTCCTAACATTGTCAGATGAGAATTGGCCTGGGCTGCGTTTCTCGATATTGATTGGTCTTAGAGCTTAAGAGCGTTTTCTACGAGTCATTTTACGATCGTTCGTTATTGTTTCACGTGCGTTTCCCCAAAATGCACTTAACGCAATCGCACGTAGCCATGCTTTAAGGTCTACTTAGGAGTCACTATCCATTTGTCAAGTGCTGAAATGTCACCTTATGGAATGGCTCGTAATTGTAGTACACGCTCGTTTATTGAAATGTTAACCTAATGCTGCGTTCCAGACAACTCGGATATAATAACAATTTTATATATAAATATAAAATAGTATAGTATATAATATCTATACAGAGACGTTATTTCCGGGTCCAATACATTGCTGGCTTTAGTGCAAGTCAGTAAGCCATTGACAAATTCCCCCCCCCAGTCTTCGAAGCATATTTCCTACATTATTTCTTTTTTTGTTCAGTCATTTGTGTATGTGTATTTCTATTTTTCTGCCCTTTTTAATTTCATTTATAAATTCATAATTTTTTTTTTACAAAAAACGAGTAATAAAGTAGTACAATCAGTACAATCATATCCTTATGGTGGGTTCAAGTCATGTCGGATAGATCGTATTTACGAGTTGGAACGCCACCAACGCCACCACAAAGTCGTTATTACGAGTGGGAAACTTTTTCTTTAAGCCCCGAGTTTCCGAGTTGGGGGCGTGTCAATGAGAAACATGGCGGAATTGATGGATGCAACGTCTGTAGTTGACGGTAAATTTATATTATATTATATTATATTATATTATATTATATTATATTATATTATATTATATTATATTATATTATATTATATTATATTATATTATATTATATTATATTATATTATATTATATTATATTATATTATATTTATACGTATAATATTATACTTTACATAAAAATATAGGCTACAATAACTTTATAAAAATATTATATATTATAGTAGGCTATATAATATCTATATAGAAACGTTATTTCCGGATCCAATACATTGCCGTGCAAGTCGCAAGTCAGCAAGTCATTGACTTTTTTTTTTTGTTCAGTCATTTAATTTAGATGTATATTTCTATTTTTTCTGCCCTTTTTAATTATTTCATTTATAAATTCATTTAAAAAAACAACAACAACAACAAAAACGAGTAATAAAGTGTACAATAAAGTACAATCATATACTTATATCATAATCACATTGCACTTGAATAAAGTTAAAGGTGTAATCTGCCGATTGTCCTGCAGGTGACCGCATAAATCTGTCTTCTTACGATGCACTTAGAGCTTTACGATTACTCCAGAGCACTCGTAGATCTACGATGATTTTGATTACGATGAAGTTACGATCCTGTTGGGAAACAGACTGTAATATTAAGATCAGTCGTAGGATCGTTTTTACGAACTTCTTAAGGCGGGCGTACACGGTGCGATTCTGAAGGTCGGAACGTCCTGAGCTCTGGCACATGTCACGATTGAGTTTATCCGAAAATCGTACGGAGGCAGTCACACACGACACGAATTTACTACGATTTTACAAACTCTGATGTAAGCATTACGTTTCGCGCCATTCATAAAAATATGGATTCTGAGGACGAAATAGTTTTCTTTGTGGCAGGCGGCTTGTGACGTCCAAAAAAAAAAAAACGAAGACAAAGGACATGGCAAAGAGAATGGCTGAAAAGCCACTTCATAACGAACTCGAGGGAGTAGGCCATTTCTGAATTTCTGCTCGTTTTGCCGGAAAGACAACAGGCATATTTATTCATTCATAAAACTGAACGGCAAATTTGGCACATTCGGAATAACAAATAAAAAATAGAACTGTATAATTAAACTAAAATTATTATAGACTATATGGTTTTTGTCATCTTCTGATTGGTCAACTTCAGATGGATCGCCAAATCGTCTGGTTCAACCGCAGATATGCCACGAATTTAAACCGACAGCGTCCGACATTTACGTAATTGGATTCGTTCTGCTGTGCAAAGCGTTATTTTATCGGCTGATTTTCAGAATCGGCGAATTAGTAGGCTATTTGTCGTTAAGGAAGACAGATACTGTTACCAGCGTAGCAGCTTATTGTCGATCACAGAGCGAAACCCGATCACACTTTACAGTGTGCACGTTGCGTTAAATTTGCATTTCCAGAAGGAAATAGCAGTGCTTTCAAGGCAGAAGTTTAAACTGGTTAAAGTTAGGTATAAGTTTAAGGCTTTGGTTCCATGTAAATTTGATAACATTTTCTCAGCATCATGACACTTTATGGACGATACAATAGATGCAAGAAAGAAAAGACCAATCATAATTCAGTATACAAATAAAATCAAGAAAGAAGGCCAGTCGCGATTCGTCATGCTAAATGACATGACTGTCATTTCCTTTTTGAAAGATGAATAATGTAAGTCAACAGGAAATGAACTTGACCAATCGGCGTTATGGTTAAAGTTTCATGCAACTGCCATCACAACTTGTTAGGTCGTGCAGCTGACTAAAATTATTCACAAAACAAGTTTAATGTAAATTTGTCTTTAAATTAAGTGTTTAAAAATAATTTCACATTTTCTAAAAATGTTAATGATGCTCCACGTACCTCAAAACACTTGCAATTACAGTGCTGAGGTCTTGTGTGTGGTTGCCAGGGTGTCCCTAGATATGGCTATAGGATTTTTTATCATACACCACATGATTTGAGCCATCATAGTGCAAACACTGTGTGATAAATTACATGACCAAGTTTAATACTTAGAGGGCTATCTTCTTGTCTATTCTTGCTTCCTAGTGTTCCAAACAGCACTGAAGCTGCAGGCCAGCAAAATGGAAAGCAGCATGCGGCATACTGTCGCTCGCTTCTGGAGTCAAAATCTGTCATTTTTCAAAGTCTGTGTTTATGTGTTATGTCTTCCAAAAAAGCATCTGCGAGGCCGCCGGTGTAGCCAATGAGAGCTCGGCGCAAAGCAATTCTCACACGCTTGCTCGAAAGTAAATTAAACGCCTCGTGGTATTTTTCGCTCCATGTCTCTCCCTTTGTTTCCTTTAATTACAGTTTGGTGGTTAATAAACTCCTTTCCTGCTGGTGCTTCATTAACCATTCTGATTGTTATGATAGCATGTTTGCTTACAGTCTCCTTTTACCAAGTTGAGATAGTTTTCAAAGGAGCACACTTCAAAGTGAACAGTGGTCGGGTTAACTAAACTGTCCTCAGCGGCACATTTAGAAGTATTGCTGGACTTGACCTGTTGAAAAATCATTTGATGCTTTAGCTGAACTGGTGCATTTTTCTTTCTTTAGTCTTTATTTTACAATGCACATGAAATGACATGAGCACCTAGGTCCATCATGTAAATGTGCCAGATTTAGCCATACAGGCTAATTTTCGCTTGATGCAAAGCATAGTTTACGTAGCACAAATGTAGAGCGCTCAAGCAAGCTAAGAAGGCACCAGATTGCCAGCCATAAACTTGGAGGGGTCAAGCGGGGTTGGAAGAGACTCCCATGCTCCCGGGTAATTTCCCCGTGGCCGCTGTCAAAAAGACAGCTACGCTAAGTGGAGCCCTTTCTTTCACACATGACAAATGAGTAGTCCTCGTCGGTGGACACACCTGTTACTGGAAACACTTGAGATTTTACACTTTCCAGAGTGGCCTTATTACCATCCGACCGCTCAAAGGTCCCGAACAATGGACGCGGACGCTAACAATGCTCCCGGCCCAGGGCTAAAGAGAGTCCCGTCAAAGCCAGGCTTGTGCCGAGCAACACCGGGGGCTGCAATTGAAAATAAATTTCATTTGAATAAGGGCATGGGGCACATCGGAGGAACCCGCGAGCTTCGACTAGAACAAAAGCAGTTGTGGGGATAAGTTATTGACTCTGCTGACAGGATGAATGCAGTTCATTATGCCTGCCAGTTAACTCCAGTCCATGTCCTGGGCTGAATTAGGTGGCAGGTGCATGAGCCATTTTGCTCGGGCCCCGGGGAATGCCTAAGGCCTGTCATCAGCTGATTTCATAGACAAATGTTTATCCCATACAGCCAAAACAGAAAGCATATTTCCATCATAAGAGCGTTTTGCAACAGCCATTAGTCACCGCTCATTTGCATGTTAATTGTGCAGTTAAAGCGGCAATGTCCACGTTTGCTATTGTTCACGCTATACGCCGGTATGATTTAACTGCTGTGCGGAAATCAGTCGTCGACCTGGAGCGGCTTTATTATTTTAGAGAAACTTTTGCTCTTCGTAATCACTGCATCGTTCTTCCTTTTACTGAGCAGAAACTTCAAGCAGAATGTGCTCATTTAAATTGATAATTCAT